TGTCCTTTTACCAACAACTCCAGCTCCTTAAAAATACTGATCAATGCTGAGCACTGAACTGAACATACTTGAGATGCAGTAAGAACAGAGTGGCTAGATTATTTCCCTCCTCTGAACACTTAAATCAGCAGTTTCTAGCCTTTTAAGATTTCATACACCCATAAAACTTTTAAAAAAGGAAAACAGGAAAGACAAAAACAACAGAAACTTAGAAGGTTTTCAGCTTTCTTAGTATGCCCAATTTAGGTGCTTTTAAAATAGCTATCATGTGTCATTACTGTAAATTCACAAAAGGACATTTTAATCTTACCTAAAACAAAACATCAGCTCAAAATGGACTTATAAACTAAATAAATATGGCTTTCTGAGATAAGAGAAAGCACTTAACTTTTCTCAGACCTCCACAATCTCCAACTTCATCAGGGACTAGCAGGAACCCATGGGCCAGTATTTATGACCCACCTGTTAACCACGTCTCACATCCGTGCCACCATAAGTTTCTTTTTTAAAAACCCATGTAGAGAGCTTTACACCCATCTCTGTTAAATGCCAAGTTTAACTTTTGAATTCATAAACTTCCCAAGCTGATTGTGTCATCTTTAACAGAGACTTGGTATCATAAATTTGCTGAGAACTCCCAGGTTCTATATCCGGGAAACTGGTCAGGCTGAGCGCACACCAGCAGACTGAATCCCTTGATGACACAAGCACAAAAGCAAAGTACAAATGAAAGTCAGTGAAGAATTAAGAATGATTTCAAAAACGTCTCAAAACACATACCATTCCCTTTGCATTTTGCTGAGGCCCACATAGATTTTTACTTCCTTCTTTGGAGGTAAACTCTTTTCAACATCAGCCTTAATTCGACGAAGGAGGAATGGACGCAAAACCTTAAAAGAGCAGAAAGAAATGGAGATGACCTTATTGGTAACATAAGCAACAGTTCAGGATCTCAAAATGTCCACTAAATACACAGAAATGTGCCGTCTGAATATCAAAAGATTCTTAGGACTTCTTTTTAAATATATAATTTATTATTGCAGACTTCCTAAAGAGTATGTTAAGAGGGTTATTCAATATATAATAAGTAAACACTTGATACACTTGTCATATAAGTGTAAAAAAAAATAGTAAATTTTAAAGATGATATTTTCAACATTCACTGCCTTTCAAATTTAAAACTAGTTACTTAAGAAAAGGCTAGGTCCACATTATGATGTCATCATGGTTACTGTTCCCTCATTTATCTTTTTCTCATGGAAGTAGACAAATATAAAGTATACAAATTGTAAATATACAGTTCAATACATTTTAATCAAGCAAACATAGCCATGTAACCATCTCCTAGATAAACAGAACATCCCATAAATCCTTCTGTAACCTTTCCAGTCACAATCCCCTCCCCTTCCTTCCCAAAGGTAAGCAATATTCAGTTTTTAACGTCATACATTAGTTTTGCCGGTTTTTAACTTTATTTATATACAAAGACTGACAGTATATGCCCAATTTATAGCTGGTTTCTTTTACACAATATTACATTTGTGAGACATACCCCTGTTATATATAGCTAATTAATTTTCATAAAATAATTTTAAGACAGCTATAAAGCAAAAGATATCCTTTTATATCTTCCTTTGTTCTATTTACCACTAGCTAATAAAAATGTGATCAAACAACAAAAATTGTTGAGAAAATAAGCAACGCTTCTCGAGTATCATCCCGTAAGGAAGCTGGTGCAGCCCAACCAAAAGCTGGCACCAACTGCCAGCATGTGAGCGAGGACCTTCGGCCCCACGAGCCCTCTTCCAGAGCTGTCTATGTACATGCAGCTGGGTAAAACTGGGCAAAACCAGCAAAGAACTCACTCAGCTGACTCGTGAATTCTGGGGCTAACATACACAAGGTAGGCTCTGGTGCGGGACTGTTTACAACTAAAGAAAACTCCTTTATCAAGGAAAAATCCTCTCATGCCCAAGTACACCATGTGATTGTGAACACACTCTTTCATTACAAGACACAGGAGCTACAGTGGGAATCTCAGGACAGCTCGGAGAGGCAGCTACCGGACCTGTACCCCCTCCCCCGATTTGAGAAGCATCTTCATGCTACTATCTAAGTAAAATAAACAAATGCCAAAACTGGTATTCTGTTGTGCTTTAGTATGCTTTACCTACATGTACCTATCTATTTATTAAGCTAAGTCTACGCATACACCCCACAACCCTCTGAACAAATAAATCTAAATTGAGTGCTTACATGCTTGAATGCCATCTAAACTGAAACAAAGGTGTCTAGGAGACCATTACCTTAAAACATGTAGAAAAATAAAATTTCAGTACACAGAATTTTAGAGAACCTTAAAATTAATTTATACACAAATATTTGAATACTCAAAAGTTTTAAATTTTTCCCCTTCATCAAATATCCACTTTGAGCCAGGCATTATGCTAGGGATACAAAGGCAAATATAAGACATATCCTGCCTTTGTGCTTACAATCCAGAGGGAAAGCATTTGTAAAGGAGTCATTTCAGTAGCCTGTGCAAAGTCCTATAATGTTAGAATGTTGGACTATTAAAGACAGGCTAGAGAGGAGTCTCTAGGCTGGCCTCAGCCTGGGTACTCATGGAGAAGGTGACATCACCACCGAATCCTGGCTGAAGTATTATTTGTAAAGGCAGGGAAGAGAATACTAAATGTGGAAGAAAAGATAAGCAGAGACGAAGAAATTAGCACAGTGGTTATAGAAAACCGACAGTGGGGTCAGCAATTTTAGCAAAGTAAAGCTTGACTAAGAAATGAATCAGCAGCTGGAGAACACTGTTAACAGAAACATTAACTCTCTAGAGGAGGAGTGATGTTGCCCCACAGGACATGTTTCTAGGGCCTTGAAACATTTCCGATCGTCACAAATGAGGGCCTACTACTGGCATATACTGAGCAGAAATGTCCAGGATGCTGCTACTCAACAAGAAAACCACCTTCCCATCCTCCAAAAACTGCACCAAAGGTCAACACAAGTTGAGAAACGCTGAGTTAGGTCATGAAAGGCCTTGTATGTCATGCTTACATGCTTTATCCTGCTGGTCCTGGTATTATAATCTGGGGTCTGTTAAAGAAATTTCTATCTTCCTACCAACTTTCACTTGTGAATCTTCACAGGAAGGAACAAAGCTGTATGTCACAGGAAAAACATCAACTCTGTTCACACTGCACTATTAGCAGTTGCTTGTACACAATCGATTTAAGAGCAACAGATGGACCTTTAGCCTTTCAGAAGCAAATCTGTTAAGATTCTCCTATGGAAGGTTAAATAGAACTAAAGATTCCAAAACTTGTTCATGTTAAGTTCTTATGCAACTCTTCTTCCCCTCAGTGTACATTAACTCTAAGGGATTAATTAATTAATTTACTAAGTTAGAATTTCACCCTAGGTTCTAAGACTGAAACTGCCATACATTACCCCCTCCTCCCATCATAAGAATAAGAACGAAAGTGGGCAGATTCAAACAGATCTGACTCTAAAGCCACTGTGCTTTTTGTTAACAGAAAAATAATCTACTAATCTGTATCATTTTTCCCATTAGAAACATGCTTTTTTAACCCTACTCCAAAATACTTACCATATGAAGCCTCTCAACTAGCTTTTGATCCCCAAGGCAATTATTTGTATCAAACCAGGAATCAAAGTCCTAGATTAACAAACAAAAAAATACATCAAGATTAGAGATAATAGTAACATTGTGTGTGTTCAGTCGCTAAGGTGTGTCCAAGACTCTGCAATCCCATGGACTGCAACACACCAAGCCTCCAGACCTTCACGACCTCCCCGTTTGCTCAAATTCATGTTCTTAATAGTAACTGCAAACACCTTATTATGCTAGGTTATAGAGCACATAACAACTTCTCAATTAATATTTGAACTGTGAACTGCAAAAATCACTTAGTTCCTTTTTTTAATGTGTGTTATTGTTAGCAATTCATTTTAGAATCATGTATTTTCTAAACATCAAGATGACTAGTTTCAAAATGAAAAAAAAATAACTGGAGACAGTTTGTAGATATGAAAATCAATATTCTTGAAAAAAAAAAGTTTGTTTCAGAAAATCTTAAAGGTTAAAACCACTTTATAGTTTGCTCTCTAAGACCACTCATATACCTCAAACATAAGGTTTCTAGAGCAACGTCAATTTTTGTTAAACTTACTGAAAGTAAAATTGAGAATACCAACATTTCATTAGTATTTGGGTAGGATTTAAAAAGGACAGTTTCCCTAGCTTTACCCCTTTAGCATGTGTATTATATACAGTTGGCCCCTGACCACCACAGAGGTTAGGAGCACCAACACTCCATGCAACTGAAAATCCACATGTAACTTATAGTCAGGTTAACCACTGCATATCATGCAGAACTGTAGTATTTACCACTGAAAAAAAATTCATGCACGTGGACCCACCCACTTCTATTGTTCAAGCATTAACTGTATTTGCTGTCTTAGTAAACATAATCTTAGAACTGTGTCAACTAAAACAAAGTTTTAACAGAGATTATTAAACAAATAAACATGTCAATGGGGTAAGAAAAATTATCTCAAAAAGAAAAATCAAAATATGTAAAAGCAGAAATAAAGGAGCTGGCTGACACGGATTAAATTGTCTTTCAAGAATACAATCTTCTCAAAAAAAATTTAAAATGTAAAAATAAAAATAATAAAATCTACTCTTAAAATGATCCTTACATAACACACCCAATCAAAATTAACACCTTTTTACTTATTTGAATAAGCTCTTCAAAGCCACACACACACACTCTCTCCAGAAATGGGAGCAAAGGTTCAAAAATGAAGTCGAGCCTGAGAGAAAACCAAAATTACTAATTGCACAGACTGCTGACATAATGTACATTTTGTTAAGAGCAACCAAGAGTTCAAATTGTCAATCAACCATTTCTATCACCACAAATAACCTAATCAAAGGTAAGGATTAGTCTCTATGCTTATTAGACCAAAAGAAAATATGGCTAGACAGACTTCACCAAATTTGAAGGCCATCCTTGGAAGAGGCCATCCTGGGGACTTAAAACTCAGGCAACAGGAAGTACCCAAATTCACTTGGGGAATATCCTGAGCACCACCTTAAGAACAAAAGCAGTCTACCTAGAGCAGTGTCAGGCCAACATGACCACCTGATAAGAATGCAAATCTATGACATTCCAGAGAGAACAAGCCATGACTTCAAAAATGAGACTGAAATCAAAGGCACAAAGTAAATAAATTCTCGGGATGCCAAAAAAAACTTGGTTGGTTACATGAGGCTAACTACCTAAAAGAGTGAAAAAGTAATGATTACCTCAAGCAGTACGAAAAGGTAGGCCAAACTCTTTAATTCTTCTGGTTTTACTGAGATAAACTGACAGCTCTGGATGAGGTTTAAAGTGTACAGCGCAATGACAATGTTTAGAGAACATCCATCATTTAATACAGATATAAAATTTTTAATAGAAAAAATATTGTGAAGAGAACTTTAGGATTTATTGTTATTTACCTTTTTTTTTTTGTTTTTGGGGGGGTTTTTTTGTTGTTGTTGTTTACTCTTAACAATTTTCATATATAACACGCAGCAGTGTTACATTTATCATGCTGTACATCTCAAGTACTTAATTATCTTATAAATGGAAGATAAATAAGTACAATGAACTTTGTACCTTTTAACTGCCTTCATCCAATTCTGCTTCTCCCCTAGTTCCCACCTCTGATAACCAAAATTCTGATCTCTTTCTATATAAATTTGTATGTTTCTTGAAGCAGGCCAGTTCTATTACAAAAATATTTAATATCAAAATATTACTCCAAGAAAATAATAAAAAATACTTACATCAGCTGAATTAAAGACATCTGGTAACAAAAAATTAAGAAGTGACCAAAGCTCATGCAAGTTGTTTTGAAGAGGTGTTCCAGTTAATAATAGTCGATTTGTAGTCTTGAATTCCCTCACTATTTCTGACAACTGAAAAAACAAATTCATCATTAGAATGAATATTCTGCATATTGATCAAATTCGAAACTAAGGCACAAATGATTTTCAAATCTAAATATCAAATTACCTTGGATTTTTCATTTTTGATCCTGTGAGCTTCATCAATAACTAAGTACCTCCAATTAAATTTTTTGAAAACAGACTTTTCTTTAATAAGCATTTCATAAGAAGTTACACATACATCCCATTCTCCTGGTAACAAAACATCTCTGACAAAAGCAGCCTGTTTAACAAAAGAAAAAAAATTCCATCATGCGGAAATAAACTATATATTAAATTTACTAATGACAAGGACATAATCTACTATATAAAGGGGGGTGGGAATATTAAAAAAGAAAAAAGAATTAAGAGTTATCTATAGTACACAAGCAGCTAGAACTAGCTCAAAGTAACTTCATCAATCTTGTCACAGCCATGTAATAAATAACTGACAAAATTCTTTGGTGCAAAAGTCAATAGACTAATTCCTAAAATGTCTTCTTTCAACAATGCCACTAAGTGTTGAAATTTTTTGGACACAGGTTTAGAAAAGGATAAAGAGTTTTCTGACATAAAGATAGATAAGGACTAAAGGTTAGTTTTCAGTAAGCATTTTCATTCATTTTAAGTTTATAGATCTATTAAGACATTGCTATGAATTTTCTCATTTTACAGCTGAGGAAACTAAAGCAAAGACTGGTTAAACCACTGGGTTTCAAACCATAGTAAGGATTCTGTAACTAAAAATACCCAAAGCAGCTAAAAAGGGAGAAAAGAAAAGAAATCTAATCATCACTGATAGCTGAATGAAGGGAAAACAAAATTTAATACATAGTCCTTCGATACATTATGAGTCCATTTTTTAATCCAAATTTTATATTCTTAATAGCGTCAATTATTTCCATTGTTGGTGGTGCTATTTTAGTCTCTAAGTTGCCTGATTTTGTGACTCCATGGACTGTAACCCACAAGGCTCCTCTGTCCACAGGATCTTCAAGGCAAGAATATGGAGTGGGTTGCCATTTCCTTCTCCAGGGGATCTTCCTGACTCAAGGATCAAACATTCTTTACCGCTGTGTCACTAGGGAAGCCCACATTATTTCCATTTCTGCTCCCAAAAAGGATGTGTTAACTGATCAATATTTTAACTTATTCTGATCAATATGACACCAACTTGTCAAGTTACTATTTACATTTTTACCACTTACATTATTATGAAGAAATTGCTCTAGAATGGGAATAAAGCCTTCAACTTTATAACCACCCCCAAAAAAGCAGGAGAAACAAACTATACTCTTATAGCTTTCTACAGTCTACAATTCCTTTTTCCCCAGTATGAATCTTAGCCATCAAGCTAACATTCCACTTACAAATTACTAATATTTATGAAGACCAGGCTTATTACTGGGACCCTTCCTCTTCTTTTATCCCTCCTCTAGTTATCCCCTTTCCCCAACCTAAATTCAAATTCTTTTAACAGCAAACACGTAATGAATATGAGAAGCTCACCCTTTGTTCTTTATCTCCTATTAAACAAACAGATCTAAGCGTTGGCACCCATCTCTTGAATTCACTCATCCAGTTGTGTAGCGTAGACTTAGGCACCAAAACCATATGAGGACCAGGAATGTTCCTATAGTGTTTCATGTACCCAAGAAGAGAAATTGTTTGAAGTGTCTTTCCCAGGCCCTGAAAGAAAAAATAACCACAAAGCAATGAAACAGAGAACAAAACAGACTCCTGCATTTATATTTCCTGACTGGTACAGAAACATTTAAAAGAAAAACTGTATGTACACCTAACAAATAGCAAGAGTTTGATATGTGTCAAGTGTGCAAGCGTTAACGGCATTTAACCTTCACCAGTCTGTGAAGGATGTACTATTACCACCTCCACAAAGCTCAAATACAAGCTTTCCCAGAGTCACCCAGCAGAGCTAGAATTGAGACCTATTTCTTTTGACTCCATTACTTTCTCCAAGCAGTTGTTTTAGCGCTGCAGCTATAGAGAAACTTAAAACATTCACTATATAACTAGTCAATAGTAAACAAGATATAATGTTTTACAAGACAGAACTGTACAACGTGCCATCAGAGAGAAAATATTGATAACATTCCATTAATCCCCCATGTGTCTCACAGAAGTGGGGGGAAGGGAGCAAGGGGAGATGGTCAGATCATTGTATTACAAAAGTCAACCAAAGGCATGCTTCTCAAAATGTATTATTTTTAAACTTATTACACTTTCATAGCCAATTTCTCACAATTGAAGTATATAGATATAGATCCCACTTAGGCAACTAAAGTGAGCTTTATTAGTGTGACACAGGATTAGTTTGCTAACAGTCTATAGTATAATCAATAAACTATATCTTACAAATCTTTTATAAATCTAAGTGGTATACAAGGTTTTAAATTATAAAATGTGGACCTCTACAAAAGCTACCAAACACATACCATTTCATCTGCAAGGATACCATTGATGCCGTTCTCATACAAAGAAATGAGCCAATTTAATCCTCGGACCTGATAATCTCTCAGTTTACCCCATTTTACATCTAAGAACAAAAGAAAAATGACATGCACATTTTAAAGACAAGAAATACAAGTGGGCAGCCCTTCCTTCATTTGATACGCAGAGGTTTAACGTGGGCCTACACCTCTTTATTCTGACCGTGCCTTCTTCACTAGATTTTAAGAATGGGAGTTTTCCAAGTCCCGCGTTAGGAAAGGGAGCTACTGTGGTGTGGAGCAGAGAAGGAGCAGATGGATACGGAAGACAAGAAACACGACGGAAGGCGTCAGAGTGCCCGGCCACTCAGGCCTTACGTTACCATGTATCGGTCTCAGGGATTCTCTGACCGAGTTCCTTTTTCAATGTCTGCACAAGTGTTTCTTAACAAGTGTTTTCACCTTCCCTGATGACCAAAACAGAGGTTCCCTGGGGACTGTGTTTTTCTCTTAACAAAGGGGAAATAAATAGAAATTATTAATAAAAGACTGTTTTTCCTTTACCCTTTCAAGAGGTCCTACAAAGAGGAACAATATCTTTTTCAGGGTTTACTATACATTTCCCATCCCAGAATAACTGCTAAATATATGGATCACAAAAAATACAGCTTTTAAAAAATGTATATTCTATACTCCATCCTCTTTGACAAACACTGCTCTGAGATGAAACGTTAATCAACACTAGGAAAACTGGTTACACTGTAAGAATGTGAGGAAGAGACAACTCAAATACTTCAAATTTACTTTCTCTCTGCACCACAAATCTGGCCCTGGCCTCTACCTTCATTATAAGAAATGAAAACTGGGTACTCTGTAGCCAAAAGAAAAAAAAAAAATTTGGAGATACATACTTTAACCAGACTGGTGCATTTCTAACCAGATCCTATCCTCCCTGAAGTTTAGTCTGCTAAGAGTTCAAGGTGACAGTTAATTATTAAAACAACCAATCCAAATTGTAAATCCTATACTATTATAAATTTTTTTTTTTTTTGCTCACAACCACTATGATCATACAAACTTGTCATCAAGTGAGAAAGACAAAGGAGGTCAGAGGAAAAAAATTACTGGTCTTCAGTAAAGAAAACTGTGCCACCAGACAACCAAAATTATACACGCATACATGCTATGTCGCTTCAGTCGTATCCTACTCTTTGCAGCTTCATGGACTGCAGCCTGTCAGACTCCTCTGCCCATGCGACTCTCCAGGCAAGAATACTGGAATGGGTTACCATGCCCTCCTCCAGGGGACCTCCTGACCCAGGGGTCGGACCAATGTGTCAGTCTCTTGCACTGGCAGGTGGGCTCTTTACCACTAATGCCACTTGGGAAACCCAAGATTATATATAAGTAAAACCTAAACCTGGTTAACCATGTTTTCTTTTGGAAAACCACTTACAAACTTTAAAACAAATACAAAATCCGGAGATGAGTAAACAAAGTCTTTAACAAGTACGTTTTCCTACACATCTTTCTTCCTGGGGCAAATACACAGCAAATTCTATTCCCATTTTTACATATACATTCAGGAAACAAGCACAGTGGTGTTTTATGCCCTTTTGAAATACAGCATCACTATCATAATGATACACCATCACTTCTAGCCAAAAAGTATCTGAAGTTCATTTTACAATCGATAAATTTCAAAAGATTACTTAAAATTCCCTTTATAAATTACAGCCAAGAAAAACCCCAACATTAACCAAAGGCTACAAGGAGATGTTTTAAAGATGAAGGAATTAAATATGCACAACATACATGACGGAGAGTCTTCAAACCGAGTGCAAACGTTGGTCGCTTTGGAGCTCTCCGTTAGTAATTCTTCATCTTCCTCTTGCTCTGTCCTTCGGTGCCGATAGCTGCCAGGTTTAAAATGAAACCAAGCGATGTGAGTCTTGGCTTTGATTACCAGCTTTCAACATAAGAGTCAACAGGCTGACCAATATTTCACAGGGTCTTAAAAGGCATGTAAATGAAGACTATAGAGTAATACCTTAGGTTAACCAGAACCTGAGAAACATAAATGTGATCATCTAATTTCAATGAAAGATGCAGTAAGAAAAACCTCCTAGTTCATATTTTAATGTTAAGTATTTTGCTCCCACCCCAAAAATAGTTCCCCCAGAAATCACATTTTAAAAACTACAACTTTCACCAAAAGCTGCAGAATTTGCAGAACAGAGACTTAGGGCTTAGGCAATGACATCTTTAACTACAGATTCATCAGAATTACTTGAAGCTTGTTAAATACACATGCCCAGATTTTACATCCCAACACAGTCAGATACAGTCTCCTAAAAACTAAATTTTTGTAGCTATAATATTGCCAGATTTCTTAATCTCTAAAGGACTCAGGTTAGTAAAACTACTTACTCCCCAGTTTTCAAATTTCCAATTATACCTGTATACTTTCAACAAGTATTTTCATTCAAATCAGAAAACAGTAGATTATATTCCACTCTTGTGGTCTCTAAATCTAAATTATTGCTTGATTTCTATTAAAACTACATGCTTTGTGGGAAAGATAATCAGCCTTCCCAGATAGAGAGACATTCCTCAGAAATGCAAGCGAAGGCAATAAAAATCCAAGGATTTTTTTTTAATAGCGCTTTTTTTTTTCACATTTATCTGGCTGCACCGGATCTTGGCTGTGGCATGTAGGATCTCTGATCTTTGCTGTGGCATGCAAACTCTTAGTTGCGGCATGTGGGATCTACAGTTTCCTGACCAGGAGTGGACCCCAGGCCCTCTGCACTGGGGGTGTGGAGTCTCAGCCACTGGGCCACCTGGGAAGTCCCTTCCTGCTTGTCACATGTGTTTACTTCTTGTGCTTCTCTGCACTCCAATCTTATGAAAACTTAATTCAAAGATCTACCCCTCAACCCCAAGTTACTCTCCATAAACTAAGAGAGAATCTTAACTTTGCTTTTTTTAAAAAATAATATCTCCTTCATAATGTATTATCAAGATGACTGATTATTGTGGTTGTTAAACTAAAGATAAAAGCTGGCATATGCTTTGTTACTTCAGTTAACGCTTACTTTCAAGCAATGAGAGTGCCCTAAATTTATTATTACTAACCAAACATCTTAGTTAGGGCTTCCCTCAGAGCTCAGTTGGTAAAGACTACGCCTGCAATACAGGAGACACAGGTTCAATTCCTGGGTCGGGAAGATCCCCTGAAGAAAATGGAAACCCACTCCAGTATTCCTGCCTGGAAAATCCCATGGACAGAGAGGAGCCTGGCAGGCTACAGTCCATGGGGTCGCAAGAGTTGGACACAACTTAGCATTTAGCAACTAAACCACCACCAAACATCTTAGTTATCCAACCAGAACAAATTCTAAGAATGAATCTATAATTCAACATGTAAGAATTACTTTAAAAATTTTGCACCACCACCTAACAATGGCACCATACAACTTGACATTTCCCTTTATATAAACAAATTAAGTATATAACAAAAATTTTAAGCAGACTACCATGACATAAATCATACCATCTACACACAAACAGAGACTTCAGATAAAAGCAGTACTCTCAATTCACATACATGGTTTAGGAGACTAGAGAATGACCCAAGTCAGATCTAAGTTCAAAGTCAGATTATTCTAATTCTTTCTAGATGATGTTAAGTAGGCCACTTAACCTTTGCATTTGTTTTCACTTCAAGGAGAAGGTAACATCTGAATTCCCTACTCAATCCATATAAAAATAAAACCATTATGCCTATTTTTATTTATTTATACATGTATGGCTATATCCTGCCAAGCCAACTGGGCCAAATAAATAATAGCACTATAACTTCTATAATATTGCCAGATTTCTTAATCTCTAAAGGACTCAGGTTAGTAAAACTACTTACTCCCCAGTTTTCAAATTTCCAATTATACCTGTATACTTTCAACAAGTATTTTCATTCAAATCAGAAAACAGTAGATTATATTCTACTCTTGTGGTCTCTAAATCTAAATTATTACTTGATTTCTATTAAAACTACATGCTTTGTGGGAAAGATAATCAGCCTTCCCAGATAGAGAGACATTCCTCAGAAATGCAAGCGAAGGCAATAAAAATCCAAGGATTTTTTTTTAATAGCGCTTTTTTTTTTCACATTTATCTGGCTGCACCGGATCTTGGCTGTGGCATGTAGGATCTCTGATCTTTGCTGTGGCATGCAAACTCTTAGTTGCGGCATGTGGGATCTACAGTTTCCTGACCAGGAGTGGACCCCAGGCCCTCTGCACTGGGGGTGTGGAGTCTCAGCCACTGGGCCACCTGGGAAGTCCCTTCCTGCTTGTCACATGTGTTTACTTCTTGTGCTTCTCTGCACTCCAATCTTATGAAAACTTAATTCAAAGATCTACCCCTCAACCCCAAGTTACTCTCCATAAACTAAGAGAGAATCTTAACTTTGCTTTTTTTAAAAAATAATATCTCCTTCATAATGTATTATCAAGATGACTGATTATTGTGGTTGTTAAACTAAAGATAAAAGCTGGCATATGCTTTGTTACTTCAGTTAACGCTTACTTTCAAGCAATGAGAGTGCCCTAAATTTATTATTACTAACCAAACATCTTAGTTAGGGCTTCCCTCAGAGCTCAGTTGGTAAAGACTACGCCTGCAATACAGGAGACACAGGTTCAATTCCTGGGTCGGGAAGATCCCCTGAAGAAAATGGAAACCCACTCCAGTATTCCTGCCTGGAAAATCCCATGGACAGAGAGGAGCCTGGCAGGCTACAGTCCATGGGGTCGCAAGAGTTGGACACAACTTAGCATTTAGCAACTAAACCACCACCAAACATCTTAGTTATCCAACCAGAACAAATTCTAAGAATGAATCTATAATTCAACATGTAAGAATTACTTTAAAAATTTTGCACCACCACCTAACAATGGCACCATACAACTTGACATTTCCCTTTATATAAACAAATTAAGTATATAACAAAAATTTTAAGCAGACTACCATGACATAAATCATACCATCTACACACAAACAGAGACTTCAGATAAAAGCAGTACTCTCAATTCACATACATGGTTTAGGAGACTAGAGAATGACCCAAGTCAGATCTAAGTTCAAAGTCAGATTATTCTAATTCTTTCTAGATGATGTTAAGTAGGCCACTTAACCTTTGCATTTGTTTTCACTTCAAGGAGAAGGTAACATCTGAATTCCCTACTCAATCCATATAAAAATAAAACCATTATGCCTATTTTTATTTATTTATACATGTATGGCTATATCCTGCCAAGCCAACTGGGCCAAATAAATAATAGCACTATAACTGTTTTTTTAATAAAATGATTTTGTGCTTCTAATGAAGTCTGGTTCAACTATTAACTATCAACTATTACTCACTCGCCAACTGATAGTAAGTTCTGTTTCTCATCCTTCTTGATTCGTGGACGCCCTGGTTTCATCTTCAAAGGTGAGGTTGGCGTCTTCTGAGCAGCAGGCTGAATGAAATGTGCAAACAGTTCTGTCTGCTTTAATAAATACTCAAATCTATTTGCCCGGTCAGTTTGCTGGAAGAAATGTGAAAACACATTTTATCAGAATATCAATAAAAATTCAGAAATCAAAATTTCAACATCTCCATACAACAATCTCAGCAATAAAAAGGAACTACTGCTACATGCAAGAACACAGATGAGATTCAAAAGTATTATACTATGCGAAAGAAAGCAAACATGAAACTACATATTATACAATCCAAAATTCTAAGTAGTGATTTTCTCTATGAAATTCTAAATAGTGATTTCTCAGAAAGGAGATCTGAAGCGTCAAAGGGATGAGAGCAGGAGCAATCATTTCGGGGATGATAGAACTGTTCTACATCTTGACTGTACGGTGTTTAAATGGCCTCAGCTATTTGCCAAAACTCACTGAACTAAAAACATAAAACTACTGTGTGTCAGTTATACTTGAATGTAGTTGAAGAAAATATATCAAAAAAATAAAGACACTGCAATACAGGTGTATTTATTCAGAAGAGGGGGAAATGCTGTGCCAAATTTTAAAACGCTATCAGGCTTGAAAAACATCTATTAATTTCATGAAATATTCATTAACCCTATGTAGTTCTTAATACCATTTCTTATTTTCATATCTGAGATCTGCTAATTTGATTGTTTCCTATTATCACACAAAGAGAACGGAAGACCAAAATGTTTAAAATGTCAACTTTACAATGAATCACAAAACACTTTACCTAGCAAATACCAAAGGATGTGCTTTTTAAATGAAAACATAGTTTTCAAACATCACACCAATGTAAAACTGAAGCCCAGTTTGATACTGAAGCCACATGGAGACAGCGTGTCACTGGATGAAATGCAGCCCAATCCACACCACGGACAACAGGCTGTCAGCGTGCTTCTCCTTAGTAATGTCCTACCAACGACAAGCTTCAGTCGTTTCTGCTTTAAAGTACTGAACTGAGATCCATATATACGTATTTTGCACAATTTTATTTTCCAATACATATACAGTAAAAGAAAAACCAAAAACATGCAATGAGAAAATGATGCTATTTTAAAAAGACTACTCTATTATTGTAATTATGTTTGGATCAAGATAAATAAGCTCTGGAAATAAATTCAGATAAGTCAGAGTGTAAGATATTTTAAAGCAAAAGTTACTCTACAGTACTCAAGTCACTGAATATATATACTCTTCTTTAAAAACATTTTCAAATCAACATTTTCTTCTTAAATGTCTACTCAATTCAAAAAATACTTTTGTGTGCAGACCAGAAAAGTATTTTGTTTATGAAGTTTTCATTATAGTACAATATTGAAAATAAAACATAACAAGTAAATTACGAAGACTGTCAGAAAACAAAAACTCAGAAGTAAAAATAAAGCACAGTAAGAACACATGGAAAGTGGAAATAGCACCAAATTTTAAGCAGGATGATTAGGAAAATGCCAAGAGATGATGTTTCAGAGAAGGGAGGAGTCCTCCCAATTCTTAGACCTTATCACACCTCTCTAGTGCTCAAGATCCTTTAATGGTTCTAGCTGTCTTAAGATGGTATTTTTTCAAACTGTGGTTCATGATCTGTTAGATCAGAAATATCCAAAATCTTTGTTAGCTTCTACAAGGTCAAGTCTGAGAACTACTACCTTAAAGATCGAAGTATAAACTTCACGAGAGCTCTACAAAAGATATCATAATTTCCAAAATCCTCTCACTGATTCAAGTAGTGGTGGAGTTACAAACTGTTGCAAAAAAACAAGGAGTTTAGAACATTTACAGAGTAAGCTTTCAGTAGAACTGCAGCAAAGGTTTAAGGGGATTAACAGCATTTTTCATTGCTTGAAAAATGAAAACGTTAAGATAAAAATGACAGAAGAGGTGCAAAGAAAATGAAACTATCTACAAAACAAGACACAGAGATCTGACTTGCGGTTGCCAAGGCAGAGGAGGGGAGCAAAGGGATGCACGGAGAATTGGAGCTGACAGTTGCAATGTATCACATTTAGAATGAATAGACATCAAAGGTCCTACTGTATGACACAGGGAACTATATCCAACTTCCCTAAAATAAACCATAACAGAAAAGAATATTTAAAAGATTGTATACACGTGTTAAACTGAATCACTCTTCTGTATAGCAGAGATAGACACATTATAAATCAACTATACTTCAATTAAAATAAGAGGTGTAAGGAGAAAAACTACTTCCTAAAGAGCAAAAGCAATAAGATCAAGAACCCAAAAAAAAAAAATGAATTGTAAAATTAAAGCAAAGGCTAAAATCAATAGCCTTGGAAAAAGCATCTTTCTCTAAGAAAATGACCAGGATAGTGGAAGCCATACATGTTTGGAAATAAAGAGGAAATAAATTGACAATGGACCTGTAATTCTTTGTGGAGGAAGACTGAAAGTGAGAACATGACAGAAAAGAAGTAGAAACTTAATCAGAGTGGCAAAGTATTAGAATGGCTAAAGGATTGTTAGAAATAACACAGTGAAAGCCAAAGAAAGTGAAAACCATAAATTTATCCCAGTACCAATCAGAGTAATTACTTTAGTTTTCACAAGCAGTACTTGGCATCTTGGGTTCAAGAATAAAAAGTGAGTATCAAGACTTACCCATGAATAGGATCTAGCAGATGATAAGGAGTCTGCTCAGAAGAAAACTGCCTGTCAAGGTCATGATTTTGAAAAAGGAAATTAAAATAGGAGACTGAAAAATTTGTAGGAAGTGAGAAAAAAAATTGCAATAAAGGGAGCTGTGGAGATGAGAAGCATTGTAAAGAATCACTGAAAACCTCCATTATATAACCAGATCAGTGTCACAGACTTCACAAAAACACAGATCTGGAAGAAGCTAGATCATAAGAAAGGAGCCAATGAAGATGCCAATGAAATAATTCATGAAACAGAGAATAATGAACTAGGGTGATGGGGAAAAGATAAAAGAAATATTTATGAAGTTAAATCTGCCAAGACTATTAAAACTATGACAAACTGTCATAAATAGCTTGGGTATTTACTATGAAAAACTTTCATTCATTGAGAGAACACTAAATAACTGCGTGGGAAAGAGATAATGAATTCAATTTTGGATATTCCTAAATAAGACTTACCAAAGGGATTTAAATGTTCAACAAGCAAATGAAAATACAATGATTGGAGGCATCTGAGTTAAATATTCAGAAGTACTCATTTAAACGTGGCAGATGAAAACCAGTGACAAGGCTAAAACTGTCCAAGAACAAGTGTTCAAAATGTAATGAAGGACAAACAAATAATCAAGTAAATAAGGTATCATCAAAGAAAAAAGATCTCTCAAGGCAAGAAAAAATTTTGTGGAGTGGCCAATGGTGTCAAATACAAGTATGATTAAGGAGAATGTAACTAAAAATAAGCCAAAGAATTGGCCATTAAAATTACTAGTATATCACTTCTTAGCCTTTTGGCTAAGATCAAGTAGAGAATCACTAATATAGTGTTAATGACAGAATCTAAGTTGTGAAGATTTAGAGGAATGACTGGGAAAAGTAAAAATGGAAAAACATCTTTTCTTCAAATAAGACAGACAGCAAAGAAAGGTGACAGGACAGTTACAGATATACACAAAATGTATATATACAAAACGTAACAGAAATCATAGAGAGTAATAAATCACTTATACTGCACATATTACAATATGCATTATGTACATTATATATGTGTATACAGATACATATATGCAACTTTTAGGACTTTGAAGCTATTTTTAGAAATTTCAAAAATATTTGCTGATATTGATGAGAAAGTCAAAGAACAAGGGGAAAGTAATACTTGTTAAAATCAGTATTCTATGAGCCAGATACTATTCTGGATGCTGAAGACAGAAAGACTAAGACACTGTTTCCACTCTTAAGGAGGATACTGTATTGTGTAGTGATGATATTCTTACACATGCTATTTTAACTTTTTAAGATTAAAAAAAAATTAAGTTTAATCTATATAAAGCACATAGAACAGGGCCCAGTACATACTATTCATTCACTGTCAGTCATTATTATTTAATCTAAACTTAAATTCAAAGCTCTTTGTAGGTACTGGTTAACTCATGGTAAAATAAAGATTCCCAAGAGGATGTGAAATGTGAGCTGGATCTTTAGCAAGTATAATATTCATATTCTCTTTTGTAAAGCTTTCATCCATATTATAAAAAGGCAGTAGGCAAGAAATATTACTATTCTATATACCATATATTTCTGTATTTTATATTGTAAGCATACGTGCGTGAGTGCGTGCTCAGTTGCTTCAGTCATGTCAGACTCTGCAACCCTATGGACTGTCAGCTCCTCTGTCCATGAGACTTTCCAGGCAAGATCACTGGAGTGGGTTGCCATGCTCTCCTCCAGGGGATGTTCCCTAACCAGCGATCAAATGTGTCTCTCCTGCATTATAGGTAGATTCTTTACCCACTGAACCACCTGGGAAGCTCATTATATAGTGTATATGTTATTATAAATTATACATGTATTACTCGCTTTATAACCAGTAGAGTACAATGCTAGACAGATGCAGAATAAACACATCTTGAATAGTTACTTCTCTGGTCTTTTAACTCATCTCACTCCTAATGCTAAATCTAAAAAGGAATATTAATATAATCCACATATTTATATACTATGTGAATTCATGAAATACATCTGTATTTGCTTTACATAATCAAGTAAGTCGAGTAAGATAAAAAAGTTACAGTACTCCATGTTACACATATTTAAATTAGATATCTGTGCCTCAACTTCAGTAAATTTAATCACCTAATAAAAAACTATTATGATTATTCATATACCTAGAACATACCATTTTTTCTTCATAGGTGGGATCTGGTTCTTGGATTTCTTTTTGCTTTCCAGGAGATGCATTGTCAAATACTTCCTGGTAAGAGGGAAAAACCATGGTTTGTTCTTCAAGAATACTCAACATATCATTATTACACTGATTTCAGCCCAAAACACATTCAAAGTAATACACTCCTGTCCTGAATTCCTAGATACCTAAATGGCAGCCTATCTCATAGGAAACCTTGATGCAAAATATGACAATAATAACAATTCACTTAACCCAAATACGTAAACCGCATGGCCACTGCCAAGATTAAAGCACAAGGTTATTATCTCCAACATCCTAGAACAAAAACTTAAAGCAAATCTGTTTTGTTTTCTAACCAAAAATTATAAAGCGAAATTGAGCAATATAAATTGTGAAGGAAATGTTCCCTTTTAATAAAAGTGCAGTGTCTACTGTACTACTACCCAAATGTATACCTGGGAAGTCACAGTCACCCTGAATTTCCATCTAAAACATTTAAAAAATTCATCATGCACCCTACAGTGAATACTTTAACTATAATTTACTTAATTGATAATAAATGTGCTATTTTTGCAAGTTTATTCACCCTGACATTCAGAAAGTCACAAAAACCAAAAAAACAGCACCAACTTCACTGCAAAGTTCCACCCATCAATTAAAAGAACACAAGAACAGCTGGTGAAAAGTACAATTTTCATTAATGATGTACTGGTCTGTGGTGCTACATACTATAACAAAGTTACCTATGATTAAAAAGCTGAGAGGATGGGCCTGGTACAGCACTAATATTAAGAAATCAAATGACCCAAATTCAAGTCTAACTTCAGTGCTAAGACCTTTATGAACGTGTATAACCTTAAGCTCATCACAAATCTCTGGTCTCCAGAGTAAAAGTGAAAAAGCCACCTATCTAGAATAATTCAGAAAATGGTACTGGGATACCATGAAAAGTCGAATATTTCTTTCACAGTCTTAACTAAAACAGGCAAATGATTTGGATTTAGGACTCTTGAGGTCATATGGTTATTGGTATATAGTGTACCTACCTATCAGTCCAGGTAGGTATCAGAAATGAGAATGACCAAGACAGGCCCCATTCAGGTTGCCAAAAAGATCACACTAATAAAAAAAATGTGACTGCTCCCAACGCCTACCAATACCAACCAAAAGAAAAAATTAATCTAATACATAGGAAAGCTAACTAATGTTCCTAGGAAAGTGGGCTTTGTCAGAAAATAAATGATTTTGGAAAAATGCAACTTAAAAAGAAAAAAAAAAAATCACACTATAATGTGAAGGAAAAAACAAAAACCAGTCAGTGAAAAGACTGGTAAAATATAAAATCACTGATGTTACTATCCTGAGAAGGCGAAAAATAATGAAGCCATTTTTCAATCAATGAAACTGTTAAACAACACATTTTTGGTAAAAATATGACAGGGCAAGATATTTGGGGAAGGGTCAGCTTCAGAGCCACCCACTCCAGTGCTCTTCTTGCCTTAAGAATCCCAGGGACGGGGGAGCCTGGAGGGCTGCCGTCTACGGGGTCGCACAGTCGGACACCACTGAAGCGACTTAGCAGCAGCAGCTTCAGAGCCAGATGTGGGTTCTATCACAGATTCTACTTACAAGAAAGCTCAATCTACCCATCTGGCAAAAATACTACTGACAGTCATCGGGTACTTGTTACATCATTAATATTCATAGTTAAACTCTAATTCCACTTTACCTTAAAAACAGCAACTGAAAGCCAAAATATTTAGTTTAGGCTTTAAATTATTCTGCTTTCTGGTATTTCCTTAACACTTCTAGTGAGACTTTGGTTGCTACTCCAAAATTTGAATGACAGCCTCTTGAGAGGCTGACAACAGTGGACAGCAATTTGCAGAGAAGTGCAGTGAGTGTTCTGTCGCTTCAGCCTTGTCTGACTCTTTGCCATCCCACCAGGCTCTTTGTAGCTCGCCAGGCTCTTCCATCCATGCGATTCTTCAGGCAAGAACACTGGAGTGTGTTGCCGTGCCCCACCTCCAGGGGCTCTTCCCAACCCAGGGATCGAACCCACGTCTCTTTTGTCTCTTGCACTGGCAGGCGGGTTCTTTAACACTAGCGCCACCTGGGAAGCCCTGAGAACTGCGTATTTCATACCATTGCTTTCAGTGTCAAACTTTCAAACCCCCTTAAACCAGGAAGCGGCAATCCAAGTTAACCCTGGCAATTCAAAAGAATCATTTAAAACCTAAAGAAAAAGAAAACAAGTAACACTGACATGAGCTGAAAACAAACTTCAAGTCGCTGAAAGCTACAGAATACCAAAGGTCCTAGTCCACCAAAACCCACTGACCTAAAAGTTCTTTCAAAAATTAATAACACGTTACTTCACCCTAGGTAAGGCCGCTGGCTGCAGAGAGTAGGACACGACTGAACTGACTTAAGACTTAGTACAGCACCCAAATAAAACTACTGAGCCAAATGCTCTATGGTAAACTGCCCTACCATTTCCTTATTGTGTTAATTCTGCAGCAACATTCCCTTTTAAAGCAGTATTACCTTTGCTCAATCTATTCAAGAATGGAAAAATTCCAGAAATCTCTGGGCTGCGACTATAAAATATCTCAAAACAGATCGAAGGCCAAGAATAAAATTGGAAGGAGCAAGCAACACTTTGTTCCCAGACATCGCAAAACCTTGGAGCACACCCAAGAGACCCGCCTGGCAGTTCCCCAATCTCTCCACCCTCGAGGTAGTTACCATTCCCTGACCCGCCAAGCCCCAGGCCAGAAGGTAGGTAACCATAGAGAGCGGTACCAATTTTCAAAATAAGGCCAAGGCCCCCAAAGAGGAAATGCGCTGGTCTGAGAGCAAACTACCCGCCCCCTCACTCACTAATTCATTCATCCATCCATCCACCACACCCCCCCACACACACACACAAAATGAAATGGGGGGTTCAAGACAGCTGCTGCCGCCTTGGTCGCTTCCCTTCCCCATGGAACAGTGCCTGGGAGGAGCCTCCTCTCCCTTCGAGGTAGCAGCTGTGCCCCGCTTATCCCCACTGCGCCCTCGGCCATCCAGCCCTCGCCATTGTTTCTGCGGAACACATACCGCCCCCGCAAAGAACGGGATGAAGAAAAGGAGGCCCAAGTCCTCGGATGCGCTGCTTTTAAATGCCTTCCCCACCCCGCCTGTCCACCCCCGTTCCTAGAGGGAAATTTCCCTCGCCCTCCCCCCAAGTTTAGCGGAAAGTAAAATCGAGATTCAGAGATGCGCGAGGGAATTATGGGAGTCCAGCTCTTAAAAAAAAAAGAAAAAAGAGGTAGCTCCTCACTCGGCCTCAGTAATCAAGAACATGTGTCTAATAAGAGCGTTCGAGGATTTGGCAAGGTTCGCCAAAGAGACAAATAATATAAATGTGAAGTGCCAGAAACCCACTTGAGGTTGGGTTAAGCCTGCATAGCTTAAGCGCAAGGGTGAGAGCATCATTTCCGACCCAAAGGGTCTGAGGCCGAGTTGGAGTGCGAAGGGGTGAAGTTTGGCTCTGCGTCTCATCACTGCTACAGAGGCGAGGGAACCAGTTCCTCCTCCCCATCCTGCCCTCTTTCCAAGCCACGAGCCGCCCTCACCTCCATCTCCGAGTCCGCGGGGCCGGCGCTGGCCACGGAGGGAGCCGCCTGGGCTACGACGCCCTCGGGGCCGCCTTTGTTGCTGCTGTTGCTCCCGCTGCCGGCGGCCGAGGCTGCGGGCTTGGAAGGCGCGCTCTCGGGAGGCGGGGGTGGCGGAGGATCGGCCGCGGACGACATGATGTTCCGTCTGCGTCACTCGCTGCTGCCAGAGGCCGGGCCCGGCAGGGAGGAGGAGGAGGAGGCCTAGGCCTGGGTGGCTACGTCGCAACGAGCAGATGGAGAAGCGAGAGGACTACCCGAAAGCCCCCTGCGCCGCGGCTCGGCGACGAGCCCAGACCAGGCCCAGCAACCTCCCCCTCTAGTCGTCCTCCTCTTCCGCGGGGCTCCGGGTTCGACCGGCGCTTTACCCCACGGCGGGAATCACGTCGACGAGAGTGGGCGGGGCCACTCGGGTCACTGAGGTCAGGGAAGGCGGGCCGATTCACAGGAGGGCGGAGGGTTGGGGGGAAAAGAAAGGAAAGCAAAAGAGGGGAAGAGTCTGGGAACTGGCTTGGCTGCCTCCTCTTCTTCCTCTGGTAGATATCATCTATCTCGCCAGCACTCAGGTCTACTACCTACGCCACCGACTATCAACACTCGCGAGATTGATAGTTGGCTACAAGACTGGGTTCCCAGTGCGCATGCGCATTCGCCCCTCCTTGCCCTTGGCCACGCCTCCTCCGAGACCTCCACAGGGCTCTTGGGTAAGGAGTGGGCGGGGCCTCGAGGGAGAGCTTGGAGACGTAGATTTGTGCGTCGGCTCCCCGGCGTGACGCGAGCGCTGTCTTCCAGGCGTTCTTAACGGCTCACGGTCCACCGGCGCCTCGTCTGCCCTGCTTGGCAAGGGTCTGAGGCACTCCCTGAAAACTTGCCCAGGTTTTGCGCCGCCTACTGCAGCATAGAGGCCTGTGCAGGCCTTAACACTTTCACTGCCGCCGCTTATTGGTGTGACGCCAGTTTGTTGAAGATGGTGTAGTTATCCCAGTTGTCTAAGCAAAAGGGCCAGTTAGTGTAATTTTTTTTGTCTACACGTTGGCTGTTTGAATCATTTATAAATTCCTTCTATTTCTCTTTGGTACAGAGTTAAACGATATTTTCTCTGAATTTACATGCTAAGCATAAGCAAACTGCCCATCACCATGTAAATGAGAATCATGAGTAATCGATAGATAAGAGAGGCTATGGGTTGTATCTTTTTCTCAACCACTAAATATTAAATTAAAATGTACAGACTTCTGTACATTTCTTTCTCCTTAAGAAATATTTCGAATAGTCACCAGTGGTTACGCCTTCCGCTGGCCTCAACACAGCCTGTGGGTCTTTTGCGCACGGATCTGCTGCAGATTATCAAGAACATCGTGTTCTACTCAATAGAAAATCGTACTGCTGTAAATTGCTATCTGCCCTGCACAGGCTCTTATGCATCTTTGTATCCCCATAGCCAGTATTCTATATCAGTATGTATTGAATAGAGGAGACACACTTTTCAAGAGTTAAGATTTGAGCAAACTGTTGATTATGTTGAATTTCAAACAGAAGGGCTCTCCTCTGAATCAAGAGCCTGCAAACTTTTAACTGATCAAATGATAATTTTTTAATTGAAATCTGGAAAAATGCCCCCCAGCCCATCAGAAATGCTATTTGTGAGACTATAAAGAACCATCTAAGGATATGCGAACAGAAAAATACACAAATGATGTTTGTTGTAGTCTTCGCCTGTTACTGCAAAAAGCTAGCAGTAGTGAGTCCAACATAGAAAGTATGATTTTAAAGCTATTGTACACCCACACAGTGAACTATTATTGATCTTTAACAATCATTAATGTAGAAATGTTTATTATATAGCATTAACTGAAAAAAATTAAGTTCAAAAACATGAATAAAACATTGGAAGGATAATCATAAAAGTATTGAAAGTGATTGTTGTTGGCATGTATTTCCTAATTCTTTTCAGTTTGTATTTTTATTTTTTTCTGAAGTGAATCTGTATATTACTATATTGAGCAAACTTATTTTTAATATTTAAAAAATACTTTCACCAGAAAAAGATTATGTGGAAGTAAAAAGTTAGTGTCTAGGGTAACAGACACTGACATACAGTCAACAAATACTTAGGAACAGATATTTATTTAATATTGACATTAAGAAGAAAGTGTATAATATGTATTTAATATTCAGACTATTTCTTCACTCTCCAGGTAAATATCTTGGATCTTGGTTTGGAAACCCTAAAACTACACTGAATATGTAAGTGGATGAATCTTGAAGGCTGACAATAAGAAAAACAAGTAGCAAGAGAAACAATAAAATTACCTCCAAAATCACACCTGTCTCTCTTAACATAGACATTCATACTATGACTGCATTTCTCATACAAAAGCTATATGAGAATCCTGTGGGGGTAATAACAGAGGAAAGGAGGAAGAGGAAACAGAATGTTTGAACCCAGTAATCCAACCACAGGGACAGAGAAACATTTTGATCAAGGTCTAGGAGCAGATAGGAAAGGGAACGAGGAGCTACAGAAAAGACAATGTCTGAAAACCAAGTGGCAGACAGTAGTGCCCATTTAGTGGCCAAATGACAAAGGGCTATTGTTCTTCAAATGCTGACAGGCTGAAACTTCTAGCTAGTTCTGAAATTGATAGCATTGTATAAGATTAGTGTAGTTAGTAAGAGTAGCTTGGAGAGTCAGGCAAGTCTGGAATCTCATGTATGTACAAGAACTTAATATTTGTGTGAATTCAGGCAAATTACTTAACTTCTTTGAAGTCAGTCTTTTCCTCATCTTTTTATTATTCCAACTTTATATTTGGATGACATTCTTACAATGTTATAAGAATTATAATAATTATAATCATAAGCTAATAGTTATATTAACCTAATTATAACATAATAATGTCATAAGAATTAAATGAGATCGAGTATGCAGGGTGTTTAATACAGTGCCTGACATAACACTGAGCTCTGGGTTCAAGTGTTAGGTGTTCTAATACTGACGAATCATAAGCCTAAGGGTCAGAGTAGGGTCATCTACTGTTTTTATTAATAAGGAGGAGGGTAAAGGGAATAGTGTCACGAAAACACTAGAAAGAAATACTTCTTTAAACATGTTCCCAGAAATAAATACTATAATGTAACATCATGATAGTTTATCTCAAATATGCAAATACATGTTGTCTGCACCTAAAATTCTCTCTGCTGGATTTCGTGTGCTAGAACGGTATGTGCTGTGCTGAGCAGAGTGGAGCCGAGAGATAACTGCCACAGGACGAAAGATGCCAACGAGCTGGGACTCTTTCAACATTTTGGCCTTGAATGGTAACAAAAAGGATTTTATTAAGTTTATCAAGAACATGGGAGGAATGCTGAGCCTGAATGCTGAGCCTGTCTTTATCACATGCTCATTTTATTTTGTGAAAACCTAGGAAAGTAAGTCTGGTTACTACCTGACAACAATAAAACAGTATTGAGTTTGTGAGTATCTTAAGAATGGGCGTTTCCAACACTAGATACCAATGATCGCATGTACATCTTTTTCAGAATTCTGTTACTTAGGTCATTTGCCATATGAGGGGATTTCAATTAAAGAAAAGTATTAAGTAAAGTTCCAATGCGTCTCCCTCATGTTTGGTCACCAACTCATATCAGTGGGTGACTCTGTCTGCTTGGTGTTTGTACATGTATTTATGCCGTCATTTAAACTTGCCTTTTCTCCCCTACTATTTACAAGTTAAAAATTCAAGTTCTCTGTGCATTTCCTCCCTTGTAAAAAAAAATTTTTTTTTCTTCTTACTTGAATGCTTACTTTCAAAAAAGGGGAATAGTCTCAAATCTAAGCTTCCATCTCAGAAGCCTAGAAAAAGAAGAGCAAAATAAATCCAAAGTAAGCAGAAGGAAAAAATAAACGCAAGAGCAGAAATCACTGAAATTAAAATCAGAAAAACTTAGACAAAATAAAGCAAGGAACTGGTTCTTGACAGGATAAAATTGACAAAATGTTTGGAAAACTAACAAAGACAACACAAATTATCAATATTAGGAATTAAACAGAACTCATAGTTACTGACATTGAAAACATCAAAAAGATAAAGGGAATACTACAAGCATAAATTTGACAAATTAAATAGACCACTTTTTGGAAAAATAACTCAGACAATATGAAGTAGATAATTTGAATAGTGTTATAACTATTTAGGAAATTAAATTCATAAGGTAAAAGCTCCTCAAAAGAAATCTCTAAACCCAGATGGTTTCACTGGTGATTTCTATCATCTATTTCTACACAATTCTACACAAATTTTATACAATCTCTTCCCAAAATATAGAAAAGGATGCACTTCCCAAATCATTTTATGAAGCTACTATAACCCTCATACCAAACCAAGGATATTGTATAAAAGAAAATGAAAGCCCAATATCTTAATGAATATAGATGTAAATATCCTTAACAAAATATTAGCAAATACAATTATGCAATGGGTAAAAAGAACTGTGTAAATAGAATTTATTCCAGAGATGCAAAAGTAGTTCAATACTTGAAAATTAATGTTATCTGCCGTATTAACAGGTTAGAGAAGAAAACTCACTTGATTATATCAAGCAATGCAGAAAAGGCATTTGACAAAATTTCAACATCTTTTCATAATAAAAACTCGCAGGAAAAAAGGTATATAGGGACACTTCCTCCACTTGATAAAGAGCATCTAAAATACCTACAACCCAACATGATACTTTGTGAGACTGAATGTTTTTCCTCTAAGATCAGAAACAGGCAAAGATCCTGCTCACACCCCTGTGTGAGTGCTGGAAAGGAAAAATAAAACTGTCTCCATTTGCCAATGACACGATTATCTACATAGAAAATCCCAAGAAATCTGCCAGAAAAATCCAAAGGCCTAATAAGTGGATTCTGAAAGTTTTCAGGGTAAAGAATAAGCATTCAAAAATCAACTGTAGTTCTACAAATCAGCAATGAACATGTGGACTCGGTGCAGAGGTTTTTCAACAAATGGTCCTGGAGAAATCTCCATGGGGTGGGGGGGTGGGGAGAGAAGCAACCTTGACCTAAGTCTCACACCTCACACTCTGTGCAAAAATTAACTCAAAATAGATGGTAGACTTAATGGAAAACAGAAAACTAAAAAGTTTTAGAGAAAAATAGGGGAAAATGCTAAGGATCTAGGGTTGGGCATAGATTTATCTTTGACACCAAACACATGATCAGTAGAAGGAAAAATTAATAAATTGAATAAAAAATTAAAAGCTTTTGCTCTATAAGAGAATGTCAAGGAGATGACAAGTTGCAGAGTGGGAGAAAAATATTTACAAACACATGTCAAACAAAGAATGAGTATCGAATTTTATAAAGAACTCTCAAAATTCAACAGGAAAAAAAGCAAGCAGTAAAACATCGGAAAAATAAATGAAGAGACATTTTGCTGAAAAAGGCATACAGATGGCAAATTAGCACATTAAAGATGCTCAAAAGCATTAGTCATTAGAAAAATGCAAATTTAAACCACAATAAGATATTCCTTCATACCTAACAGAATGGCTAAAATTAAAAACAATGACAACATGAAATGCTGGTGAGTATACCAAGAAAATGAATCACTCATACGTTGCTGGTGGAAATGTGGTGCTAAGGAG